ATCTCTGATTATCAGCTGTTTTTCACACTGATCTTTCGGAGATTATCAAAGTAGCTCGACTTTCTTGATGAAAATAAAACTAAGTCAGTCGGTATATAATTTTTGTTCTTAATTTTTTTCCCCAATTCATCAAGTTTAAATGTGATTATAAGGGAGTTACTCAGAGGAGCTGCAGTTTTATAAATACAGCTTTACAATAAGATTTTGTATTTATTTGGATTCCTCACTAACTTCCAGGCAACATATTTATCTTGTTTTGTTTTTTGTGTTTAGATGGAAATAATAAAATGCCTAAGAGTTAAATTCTCAAATGAAAAGATTAAGTAAAATATTTTTTATTTTATAATCAGTTATTGTACGTTCCACTTTTGGACAATCATCAATACTTTTGGCTGGTAAGACAAAATGTCCAAAGGGGAACAGAAGTCAAAAAAGGTTGGGAACCACTGCTCCAAAGCATCCATCTGATCAACATTTAAAAATAAAGTTTGAGGTTTTGTTATTGTTAACAAACCATCCATTTGATTTTATCCACTGCTTTATCCCTGTTGTGATCCTCAGTCTTCATGTGTTGTTTTTGTTCCTTCCAGCATCCATTTGTTCTCTAAATAAACCCCAACAGTGAGCACTTTAGACAACTGCTGCAAATATATTGAGACTGGTTTTATTCAAAGCATGCTAAGGATTTTTTTACCCGAGAAAAAAAAAAATCTGGAAACATTTTTCACAAGATTGCTTACCTTGGTGTCGTCTGCCACATAATATTCCAATTAAAAAAACAACATATTCCTTAAAACAAATAATAAAGTGTAAAAATATCAGTTGGTATGAATACTTTTGTAAGTCATTACAATATGTGCTGTGATCCTTTGCATGTTGTTCATGATCATTGCCTCTGCTCTGAATGTAATTCATTGTTGATTCATGCTTGTGTCGAATCTAACTCTGTGCTACTAACTGCTTCCTGTGAATTGCCTTAGATTTCTGATTTAGCTGAGAGAGAGAAAGAAAGGGAGACGTTTGGCCTTAAGTTCACCTTTTGAGCATGGCTCTCTCAGTGGCTGCAGTTGCCCAGCCCCATCATGAAGTTCTCAGACTCGGTAAGTAGCAGCGGGGTTACAGCTCAGCACTATGCCCAAAGCACAAGGGTCAAGAACTGGATTCAGATTTTATTATTTTTTTTTTTTTAAGAGTTTTGGAGGTTTTCCATGATTAGCCTATTTAATAGTAACATTAATTAGGTTCATTTTTTCTCAGTATCAGTTATACAGTTTATACCATATGCTCTATTTACGTCTTAACACAGAACTTGGAGGTGGAAATGATGGAAACTGCAGTACCAGGCTGCAAAACTGGCTAATCGCTGTGATCAGTGACTAGGTTGACTGCTAACTGCGTACAAGCCTTTAGCAGCACACGTACGATGATTTAATGAAGATGCGCATTGAGAGAAATGCAGCCAACTGTTCACGGCTGCAGCTGTTACTGCATTTAATGGCCGCGTCATGCAAGCTTCACTTAATACGGCCCATCATTTTCTACTAAAGAGCTCCCATAGATGCTGCAGGTGTGCCGAGCTAAGCGGCCTTTTATCGGATTCTGATAAAGCTTCTACACCTGAAGTCCAGGTGTTCTTCCTGTTTCATCTCACTGCAGCAGGACGCATCCGGTGCACAGCAAAGGTCCCAACCTACAGTATGAGCATCAATTAACTTGCTAAGCTACATTGCTGTCCTGTTGCAGGAGCCATATTGGGTTATTTTTTATAATGTAGTAGAAAAACGCACCTTAAAATATGTTTTTTTTAATCTAAGGAGGTGCTTCTTCTAAAAGGTGCAGCATCATCCTTTAAGACTTTAAACCCTTTAATCTAGCAGGACAGAAGGTCTCTAAATTTCACAACAAATTCTAAGTAAAGATGCAAAAATGAGTATTGTTTTATTCATCAGCCCAAGAGTTTTCACAGGTAATGAAAGAACATTTATTTTTATTCTTGATATTTGTTTCTAGAGTTTGTTGAAATCAACCTTATTGAAAAGACTGATTTATGGAAGCCGTCCAAGCTGTAGCTGTTTTAGCTGTAAGCTTTATTTATCCTGTGATAGATTCGGTTCCTCCCCTCCAATCACTGCAGGATCCTGAAACTTATAGTTAGCCTCTAGTGGTTTCCATAGGTAAACTTTAGGGATGCACGATATAATCGGCCCCCTATCGGTATCGGCCTTAAAACTGAATATCGGACATCGGCCACCCCACCGATATTTAACCCGATATTTGAACAGCTTCTGAG